GACCAAGTTGCGCATACGTTAGGATGCAATGAAACAAATGCCCCCAAAAATTGGGAATTTTTTTCTAACCCTCTTCTCGAGTTACTGCCAGTCCGTCGTTAGGGAGCTCGGGGGAAAAAACCCTCCGAGGTGCCTCGCGCACCCCGAAGAGCGTCCAACACGTGTCGGGGAATCCTCCCGAGGACGAGTTCGGTTCCGCCAGAGAGACAAGGAAGACACCGGCGCCGGATGTTTCGAGAGCTCGTGGACATGTGGCTCTCGATAGTCATCGGTCTTCGGGCTCGTTAGAGATACCGAGTGAGAACAGCTAGTTAGCGGAGTCGGTGCTTCCGTTTTGGGGAATTTTCGGTCACGGTCGCGGTCCCTTTCTCTCGTTCTCGCATAAGGAATTCCAGGACATCTTCTTCTAGCGAAACCGAGTCGTGACAAATCGTTTCCCGGTGCATCCTCGATAGTCCGGTCGATTAATCATTTCTAAGCGAGGTTGCCTACATCATCGCCGGAACGGCACATCATCCAAACCCCGAAGACCTCGATCCAACGGATGATAATTTAATATTCCCCCAAATGGGATAATTAAAAATATATTCTCAATCGATGACCGATTCCCCTCAGTCTGGGCGTCGATGCGGCGGACGTCGCCGAATTTCCCCAAAAATTCTAACGAAACGTCGAGCATCCGGGATCCCTAGGCCAGAGCAATTGCAGAACCGTCTAGTTTCGTATTTCCGGTGGCCGCGACGTTGAAATCCCCCGTGGATTCCTTTCCTCTGCGGCTCTTTAAGGATCGCGTGACACCGGAGCGCGGTCTGTGACTAAACGCGTCCCCAGCAGTGGGTCGACGCATTTCGGCAAAGCGGAGCCTCGGTTCTTCGTCTCGTGCCCGTAATTCTAGAAGCGACCCAGAGAACGGGAGAGGAAAAGTTACAAGGGAAGGAAGAGCCCAGGGGGTAGGCCAGGAATCGGGAGCGAGACGATCCCAGGGGGAGATGACGCCTTCCCGGCGCCTGGTGCCCCCCCGTTTCCTCCTGGACCCCATAAAACTCGGCCCCGGTCTGAAATCACTGCACTGGCATGCACGTTGGCCGAAATAGACCGAGTCCGGCGAAAAAAAGGACCCGAATGCCAGAAATACCTGCCGGGACAATTCGCTCCTTTCTCGCATACCACGCATCCCGACGAGCCCAAGAGCGGTGATCCTCGAATAATAAACGAATGATTAAATTAATATCCGCCCTCAAAGAGTCCCACCTTTATGCGGGATGCACGTGGAAGAGTCGTTGGTTTTCGGAATTTCCCGTCGGAGTCCCGCGGGAGGGTGGAAACGTCGAACGAGAATTAATTTGGCCGGCTCTTCGTCCTCTTCGTCCCCCGAGGCCCGGTAGCGGCGGAGTGGCGCCGCCATGTTGGCGCGTCCACCGGGGAACAAGAAGAGGAATCGAACGAGGCTCCCGTAAATTATATCCAGAGGAAGTAGCCAGTTACCCCTACGGGTGTATCTGCTAATTCTACAGGTGCATATGTAAAATTTAGGGAATAATTTGCGGGGTAATCCACGAAGATGAGGCTTCAGGGTCTCGCGACAGGCATCGACGAGGTAACCAGGAGCGACCCCGGTAGCCTATTTCTCGTATCACCGGGATAACGAGAAGACAATCGCGGGATTAAACGAGGGCCCCCCCATAAATCACGGGGGATGGTAGTTCCCGGCGCCCTGAAGAGGGCCTCCGGGACGGAAGAAGGAACGGTTAATTTGTTGGGCATCAGCCGGCACCGGCAGCGGCGACGTTGCGCGCACATCCGACCGAAAATAACTAGAGATAATTACGCGCATAAATCAGGGGCGTTAATATTCGGAGGGGGGAAGGCGCAGAGGTGTACGGGGCACATCCGCGGGAAGGTGGACCCCGAAGAGGGAACGGAATAATACCTACGTGGGATCGGTAGATCATTTCTGGCCGTTCGGCAACGCCTCCTTGTTAGCCGGGTTTACTTAGTCCTCCGACGCTCCTATGATGAGTGTTACGCCCGCTAATAGCCTGCCGGTAACGAACTACCGTACACCGATCTGCCCCGAGGAATGCTCGCCAATGCCATCCCCTGAAGATAACCCTTCTCCCCCCTTGAACATAAAACCCCAGCCTAAGCGGATTTCTCTATGAAAATTAATATTTCCTTAAACGGAGCCACGGCCTTCCAAAGTTCATCTCGAGACTGACCCTTAAAATTAATACAAGCGTTCCCTAGATGATTTAAGCGAGAAATAACGTAAATAATTAATTGCATAATTTTCTTTCCAGAGTGATAATTAAATCGGGATTTCTTTGATCCAAGGGACGGTACCTAGACTTTTTTTTCAAGGGTTAGAGTACCTTGCAATGGATGCGCCCTCTGGAATTTTCTGCATTTCTTACGATTTCCCGTTTCCATTCCTCCCGTCGGAAGGCAGACGTCGTTTTTTTTAGTCGTAAGAGGTTCTTCGAGGGCAGTGGCGTCGAAACACGCATAACGCGTACGAGGGAACGAGCGGCGGTTCAGCAGAAGCGTAAGAACGAGGTGGGCGGTCCCACACTCCTTAAATCAGCCGGCAGCTCCCATGATATTAACCCTTATGCCCGGCCGAGCGTTTATTTGTTTGCTTAGAGCGAGTAATTAGAAACCGATACAAATGGTTATTATTTATCGAGAGGGGAAGAGGGTCGGTCCGAGGTGGAAGGAGCCCCCCGGCCATGATTGGCTGCGTTATTAAACCCGTCGAATGCATACAGGTTTCCCCACGTACCCCTGTACGCGTCCGCAATCTGCCGATATGCAAGTTGCACAAGTGCGAGCAGAGAGGAACGTACAGGCCGACGTGGCCGAAGACGTCAAGGGAGGGAAACGGATTCCTGGGCGGGGTTAATTAGAGATCGGGCAATGAAGAGGGATGCACCTGTACCGGGGGGACTAGAAAAGTCGCTTTCGGCCTGTTTCGCGGAGGAAATGCGCCATAAGTCGCGAAAGGAGGAGGGAGAGGTGAGCGAAGTCACGGCGCGTTAATAATACCCGGCGTGCATTTCTGATGACGAGACCCGGCCGGGCGAAGATCCATCGCGATGCCACGCGCGTACCTTAATAAAGTATAATGGGTATATCTGCGCGAGGTACTGCTGTCAAGTTACACCTGACCGTCCCTTGAATAATACAATGCCGGCGCGAGGCATGGGGCACGTAGGCCCCGAGGACGAGCAAGTGAAACCGGCACAAACGGTTAGGTACAAGAAGCGCACCGAGATATGGAGTACGCGAGAAGCGGCAGATATCGCGCAAATTGAAAAATTCCCAAGAGGAGGAACTTAACCAAATTCACCAATGGCTGATAATTCGAGATATGAGAAACTTCACCTGGCAAGAGGAAGACGAAAATTTTAAGATTTGCTCGAATCATCTTCCGGGAATTAAATATCTGGAGGGAATTTCACGGCACTCTTAGATGATCGAAGAGCAGAGCAGGGTGGAGGTGAGGGCAAGTATGACCGACTGTCAAAATCGTGCAGTCGATTCATCCGGGATTTATTTATCCCGTGGGCCGCGGCTCGGCAAGGGGGGGCGTTGATTAGGTGCGGTGTTGATTTAATTACCGACAGAGTAATTGGCATGCCCATTGTCGTTATTCTCCCCGCGGTGTCGCGTTCGCGTCGTTCGCCCCCGATGCGCCCCCCCGTTGCATATTCATAGGCGGATTATTATATCTAGGCGTCGAAGAGTCGAGAGTGGTTGCAAACACGCCCGAAATTAAGGACCGGCCTAGTGCGGAGTTTTTGCACCGTCGAGGGATCGAAACGCACCGAGAATATCATGGCGGGTTTTTTTTTCTTTTTTCCACCCCTTTTCACGCGGAGTCAGAGCAAGAGTCGGAGATGAGCGCGAACAAGCCGGTGAAGGGATCTCGCCAAATTCCGGGGAACGACCTGGCTGAAATTTCCGTGAACCTCCGTAACTGCGGAACCGCGTCGTGTTCCAGGGGGTGGATGGTATTAAAAAAAAAAAAATGAGGAGAGACGGGGAGGGAGAGAGAGGAAAGGAACGCCGGGCAAAAGGAAAAGGAAAGCATCATTTCCAATTTCCACGGCGGGTTGTAAAAAAAGGTCGGGCCGGGTCACGAGCCGGGCATAGATGTAGCTATATCGCGGCGGATGTTATCCGCAAACACGCGGGTTTGGCCAATTTATCCCCAGGGATGAGAGGCCGGGAACCGGGGGGAGGGAAAGGGGTTGAGGCAAGCTTGTCCGGCGGAATGAATTCCGCACGCAGCGCCCCGTGCGGTCGGCCCCTCTGCCCGTCGAGCGACGCCAGCGCCGCGTCGCCTCCTACGTTATGTCCCCACTTCGCGACTTTCTAGGCCGCCGTAAGATCCAATACACCGATTTAAGGGCTAAAACTTGGCGTACGTCATGCGGAGACGTGACGAATCCATTTGATACCAGATATACCGCTATCGCTCGCAAAAAAAAAATCAGGACCCACGACTAGCTACAATCGGAAGCTCATCCCCCGAGCGAGAGGCACCGATTCCCGCGATTCCCCGTTCCTCCTTTATTCTGCGGCATTGGGGCGCGACGTCGAGCCGGGGGAAACGCGTCGTTTCGACGGGCTAACATCGGGGCTGCCGTATCGGGCCGCGAGGGACCCTTGGATTTATTGACCTGCCATTGGTCGGCGCGTGAAAACGCCGCGAATTTACCGCGCCGCAGGTGTTAAGTCTCGCGGGTGTACCGCGTATGCTCGGGCGCGCTTAATAACAGGCCAATCGGCCGCAAAAGTAGCTCCGCGAGCCCGTAATTACGTCTCGGCAGCCGCGTCATTATCATCGGCCTCCCTCGCAAACTCTCGGGGCGCTAATTCTCGCCGAGGAAAAGGTGCGACGAGACGACTCGCTCCGCACCCCCCTTTTTCAAAATACCAAGTAAAAATTTCCCATCGCCGATAAAATCCAAAGATGAGAGAAAATGGCGTCCTACCTTCAGCCTGGTGAGTCGGGGCTCCTCGGCGGCGAGTTTGGCGAGTGCCTGGTAATCTCCCTGAGCAGCTCTCACCAGCCACTCGCGTGACTTCCCGTCCAGTTGCTGCAGAGGCGAACTCGGCGTTAGAGAGGATACTTTGTAACCTATTACCGGGTAAAGACTCGTAAAGGTCTCCCCAAGGATCCCTGCACGAGCGGGCGGCCCGGGGCGAGCAGAGATAAAAACAAAAACAAGAAAGAAAACGAGCGAGAGGGAAGAAGGCAAAGGCCCAAAACGAAGACACGACTCTCCCGCACGAGGGGAGAATTAAACGCTCTACGGCGGGTGCCCCTCTCTCGTATCCGCTGTTAAACAATAATTTTAACGCGGTAGAAGGCCCGGGAGATTACATCCTTCACAAGCTGCAGATAATACCGCGTCATTACCCGCGGTCGCAACTCAAACAGCACCCGAAGAGCCCGCTCTTCGGGATCCTTTCTTTATCTGGACCCCATTACCCGCGCGTCCTGAAAATTCGGAGGGACCGATTTTCCCGGGGAGTCCGATTGTATAATTGCCGTATGCCAATGGCGTGAAATCTGCCCCACGGCGGCGCCAATAAACGAGATAATAATAATGACGATGATGAACTTACCGAGGCAACGGAAGCGCTGTCATCTTCGTCAGTCCCCTGCGGAGCAGAGAAGAGAGTTAGAGCCGAGTCACCCCGGCGGGGTCATCAACTCGGTACATATATTGCGTATACACAGGGCCGAGGTGGTGCATCGCCATGGTGGACCCTGAAGAGGGAACTCGAGCGCGCGCCCCGAAGAGGGAACCATCGGGGGGAGAGAATGCGTAAAACAGCGGGAGGCTGCGGGGCGCAATCGCGCTCGGCCATCGGATTGATATACGGATCCAATAATTGATTCTCTGACGCAAGGGCGAGAGATCGGCCCTTGGGCTTATGCAACCACCCCCGGGCGAAGGCGATGCACCCTCGGCTGAAAATCACTCTTCTCCTCCCTCCCTTGGTGTATAAAAATATGAGACTAAAAATGACGGATAATGCGTGTGAACATTCTGACGATTCGTGGGGATCTCTTATCGGTATCCTGCAGGGGGTGTTTGGAGAAAAAATCGGGATTCCACGGGGGAGATTATTTAAGGTCGACCGTTAACGCGACCTGGAGGGAGTCGCCTTCTTCGTCGGCGGCGCCGAAACCCCAGGACCGGCAGACTTTCGCATAATTCCCTCGTAAAGCACTCCCGGCAAGTGAATTCTGCCCTCGGCGGGACTTAGCCTCGCGTTTTCATTACGCCGCCTCTCCTGAAAAACCGAAGACGTCGAACTTTGCCCCGCCCGCGATTATCATACCCCACAGTGGGGGGTATGAAACCCGGAGGCGATATCGCTTTCTCTCTCTCGCGGAAAAAAAAAAATTACAGAAAATAGTAAGAAGTAGGAAATGAGTAGCCAGGCCAATTGTCGCGAATTACTGGGTCCGCGAAGCAAATGCAGAAATTTCCTTTTTTTTTTTTTTTCATTTTTCCATTTTTCCCCGGGAGACGATGCAAAGTCCACATAGGAATGCGAGTCCTTTGCGGACGAGGTGCATCGATTTCCTCGGGATTAACATCGATTCGAGGCCGGACGAATGGCAAATCGCGAGGCAGGGGAGAGCGATTCGAGCAGACTCGTCCTTTGAATGATGCATGCCCCCGGATAAGTAGGACCCAGGGATGAGGCCGGGTCCTTAGGAGGCATCCCAAGCTTTGGAGAGGGAGATAGCCACTTAATCGCATCAACGCACTCGTTTCGTGCACGGATCTACGGGAGGATCGGCGGAGAGGGGCAGGAAGGACCGGGTCCGATCCCAGGAACGTTAAACGACTACTCATCCCTGTTAAACTGTTTGTATTTTCACTCGTCACGGCTTCAAGGGCTCGGGGTGCTCATTCCAATTCGTCCGGACTTAGGTGGAACGGTACCTTAACCTTCGCGCCCTCCTCGATTTTTACATAATTTATTGCTATCGATAGCCAAATTCAACTGAACGCCTGAAATGAATAAGGCACGAAGGTTAATCGCAGGTTATCGGTGCCTTCCATGCCGAAATTGGGAAACGAGGGACGGCATAAGCTTTTGCTCACTTTCCCCGGAGGAAGAAGCCTTCATAAAAATGTATCGCGAGGAGGGCGATGGAGACGTCGAAACGGCCCCGGCATTCAGGTCGGACGATTTCCTGCGATCTTTCCCACGTTCAGGAGAATCAGGAGAGTGGCCAACTTCAGGTGCTCCACGCGGTGAGAGCCCCTGACCCCCCGTGGGGTCGGATAGTGCACCGAGGTGCGTTCCCAGCTTTGGTGTGCGACGTCCCGCTCCTACACACGCCGGCTTTATTATACCGTGTGCCGGGGTCACGCTTTATCCGCCATCAGTGATTCGACGATCATACTTTCAATAAGCGGTTGTTATTGCCCGCCAGGGCGAAGATGGGCGTCCCGATAGTCGGCCATAGGCAGCCGAGTTAGGAGTCGCGGCACGCTGACCCCCTACACCGGCGACACACTTCTAGGTCTCCGGAAGATCGAGGTCCTCGAGGATATCCAGCCACCCCGAAGCCGTGAAATCGACCCACCTGATCGACCGCCCTCCCGATCCCGATTAGACCGAACGACGGGCGCACAAATCGGGATTGGTCACAGGGGCCGATCTCGGGACGAGATGCACCTGTTCTCCCGGAAGAAGTCCAGCCACTCTCTTAATCTTCCCCCGTATTTGCAAATACAAGCCCAAGGCTGAATTTCCTCAGAAAAATGGTTGCTTTGCACGTTTTCGCGTCACCTTAAGCAAACGAGGGATTGGATCGATCAGTTTGGCCGAAATTATCGTGATCGGCGATTGGATTGACCACTGAGTAGAATCATGGTCATGGAGTCGCCGATTAGTAGGACCGTTCAAGGGACGTCATTCCGTTGGGGGTGGACGAGGCTGATTGATTTTTAAACGATCCCAAGATGCGACTCCAGATCCGATGGGATCGCCGAGAGGGAGACACTTGTTTGCTGGTATCTCCAGGCGGAGATATGCAAATGGCGTCGGACGCAGAGAGCCGCTCGCGGCCGGACAAACGGACCAGTCAGCAAAGCTAAGCTACGGGCTGAGGAACATAATGGCGCGCTTATCAGATAAGCTTATAGGAGGCGGTTAATCGTAATGGCATCGCAGCGGTGTCCTCTCTCTCTCTCCCCCCCTCGCCCACCCTCTTTCGCTCTCGACCTCCTTCGAGGTCCGAGGGAATGACGAAGGGACCCGGTCCAGTCGGGCGTGCACCTCGCTCCCGTCGCCGCGTTATTGTTTCTCGGTAATTAATATTTTAATTGAGATCACCGGGAAATAATTAACGGCCCGATGAAGCCCTTCGGTGGGCCTGTTTGTTCAATCAGTCGCGGCCGCGAGCGGGCTACAGGGAGGTTCAAATATGGCAGACAAGATGCCTCGAGAGTCGCACCTGTTCTGGGGTCCCCATGAAACCTACCGATCAGCTGATAATGAATATTTCTCATGGGTGTATACAATTCTGCTCTCCATAGCCAGATTCCAAGAACAGAAAATCAGGAAGCGGGGCATCGGTCGATTTTACGCTTCTTCAACTTCTTATGGGATCAAGAGGATGATCAAGTAGCAGGACCAAGGCCGACTTTGGCCATCACCAGGGGGCAAGACCCGACGCCTCTGCAGGCGTCTAATGTATTCCCCGAGTTATTCGGGACCGTGCGAACAGATATTGGTTCCCCGAGCACGTATCGACGGACAGAACGCTGGACGAGAGGCGGGAAAGTCTGCGGAGCCAAACTTTCCCAAGAAGATCGAGATACGCACTTAAAACTTCGTCCCAGCCGTTGTCCCTGCCCCCTCCGGCCCTCCGCGCTGAATATCACCAACTTCCGTCAACCTTGCCCGGGAAGGAGTTAAAATTTCGGGCTCTTCCAGGCCGGCTGCCCATCCTACAGTATCTCCCGAGGTCCCTCCCATCGGAGTCTCTCGCCAAGAGGGACCGTCTCCGGACGCGGCATTGTGATCGCGGATTCACCAGGGAGGCTGCGGTGAATCCGCACTCTTGGCCTGCCGGCAAGAACCGACAATTAACCGCGTACGTCTGCGCCAGTCGTGCGAGGGCGGGGCACGTACGGCCTGTTAAATGCGAGATTACGTTCTTGCGATCCCCCCATTCGGGAGGTCCGAGTCAGACCTCCTCCGAAGACGTCCCCGGCGAGAGGATCCGGTACCAAGGCGAGAACCTCATTTTTGCGTCAACGATGAGGAAACGCAAAACTAGCTATTAGGACAAGTGTCCAAACGCGACCACACACATGTCGCGATGTCACCCCTAGAGTTGCGGGGGGTCCCAGTATAGGCCAGGGTGCAAAAAGTGCACGCGAGCATCTCTAGCCACGTGCAGCCGGCACGTGCACCTCGGGGTTGACTTTCGGTCCGAAGAGCGCAAAAAGAAGAAGCGACGGAGAGGGGAGGTGGAAACGTTTTAATAAGCCAGCAGCCTCCAGGGGGGTGTACAAATATATTCGGCCCGAGGTAGGGAACGGCGGAGGGAGGAACGTATCGCGGTGGGCCGGAGGGCCGGGGACGAGAGGCAAAACATGTTGCGGCACGGGCTGCCACGAGAGCTCCGCGGAATTAGCTTTATTATAACCCGGGGGCCATCCATACACGCGTATCCAGAGGGAGGGGGCCAGGGGGCAGGAACATCCACCAACCAATAAGCCGAACGCTAACCAAACATTTTCGCGGCTCGCCGCACCGCCTATTCTCTGGCTCTTCGGGCTGGAGAAAGGTGTGGGTGGACCCACCATCCCTTAACCTCGTCGAAGAGCCCCAGAGATCACGGAAGTCGGTACCTTCCCTGTTCCCTGGTGTCCGAGGGCATGGACCCAAAGATAATCCGACCTTCATCGATGACCAATGACGATGTAAATTCTTGCAAATCTGCAGGACAAGATTTTGGCCACCACCCTTGGTACCTCGTGACGTGCGGCGATGCCAAAGAGATTCCGCATTTTCTCGTACAGGAGGCAGGGGGAAATTTCGGTCTTCGAGGGGGGTCTCCCTATTTTTCTTAGACCCTGATCAAGTGGCACGATCGCGGCCGCAAGTCCAGCCGCTCGGGTGGGATCGATCGCGCACGCTGCGGATAACGTTGGCCTGATTTATTCCCCTAATGGGCGTTCGCGCATTCATTTCGGGCGTACCGGGGCAATTCCACGGGCCTTCCCCGTAGCTCGCGGTCGGTACTGCCGGTGACAGGAAAACTCTCGCCGGTGATTCAGCGTTCGGTTCGGCGACGCCTCCCATACCTACCCGCGGCCATAATGCCTACCTACGGAACTACACCGCTTCCATTGGTCATTATCATTAGGCTCATAATCCGAGCTTTCCTCGGCGCAATTCCGCGGAGAACCCCGAAACCAGACCCAGGAACGTGGATTCGAACCACCCCACCCAACTCAAGGCGAATTACTCCGGTGATCTGCACCGACAAAACGATTTTTTATATCGCCTAATCAACCGGAACCCAGGAAACGAATCTTCCAAAATCTGTCCGCATGCTTTCCACCGGAAAAAATCGATGACGCGCACTTGGCGCGAGTCTCAGCCGCGCGGCGAGCCTC